CGGAGGACACTGCACCCAAGAAGTCCAAGGAAGCCAACAAGACTGAGCCTGAGGTGAAGGAATCTGCGCCCAAGAGGGCAAAGCGATCCAAGAAGGATGAGGCCAAGGGTGCGGAGGACACTGCGCCCAAGAAGTCCAAGGGAGCCGACAAGGATGACAAGAATGAGCCTGTGGGGGTGGATGAGGCTGAACCTAACAAGAGTCCCGACAAGAAGCCCGCAGATGGCAACAAGCGCAAGAGCAGAAAGGGGCAGGACAAAGCGTCAACTTGGGCAGGGCGCTGGATTCCTTCAGACCCCATTGCCCTCTCAAAGTTCCAGGCCATTCAGTCCATTTTCAACGAGTGCATTGCCCCCAAAGTGAGGTCCCAGTCGTCGCTCCAAAGCCCCTTCTTCAAGGTTTGCAACTCTGCATTCAAAGCCTTGAGTTCCACGGCGAAGGATGAGGACTACAAAGCATGCGCTAAGCTTCAGGTGGAGAAATTCATGGCGGACGAGCAAGTGCGTGCCTGGTTTTTGAAATTTGCAATCCAACTATTTTGTTTCTATTCAGCTGATGCCCAAATCATGGAAGACAAATAGTTGAAAGACCCTGAAAAGAACATGTCAATCAACTACTTTCAAACTAGTGAATCTCACCCTTTGCCATTGCTCGCATGCATCCAAGGCAAGAAGCTTCTTGCTGAGGGCAGCTGATTTTGTGAAACATCTCGAATCTTGCCGTGGGGTGTCGGCAACTGATTCGATACAAGAGCTCGTGTCTTGGGACACCATACAGTGGTTAGGTTGCCTTAGAATGCGTCAGTAGCAGCAAAGTGGCAGTCCTGGCCACATCGGAGTTGTGCTGCGGGATAGAGGCATTTGCCCACCTGCAGTTGAAAGACTTTGGTTGTGTCCCCGTGAAAATGTACAGCAAATCGCAGGGTCAGTGGCAGGGTCCTTTTGCAGTCCTCTCTGGGAAGGCCTTTCATAAATGGATAATTTCAGGGTCTGTCTGTGGTTGAACAGAACATCACACTTTGAACAAAACCCCTCCCGTTGTCCTGCATTACCCATCCAGTCAAGTGGATTCAAGTGCCACCTTGGATTTGTTCTCGAATCCAAAGCCGGTGCAGGATGCCACAGAAACTTCGTCGAGGGCAAGTTTCTCTTGCTCGATATGGAGCGCTTCCTCGCAAAGCTGGCATGATTGTTCATTCCATGTTTGCAAGATCTGACGGAAATCGCTGGTCTTGCTTTCTTGGAGGGGGCATTACTTAATGTGCAGAAGCAGCTGTTTGTGGAATCAGCCCCTACAACTGCTACTATACACCATTTGAAGCCTCACGGGCTTACAGGGGAAGCAATATCTCTGTCCCTTTGCCAACCCGGCTCACCTGGCCAGCCATGCAGTTGAAACCGCATGTTGACCTAGCGG